AAATGATACATTTTCTTATCTACGCCTCTTACTCATTATTTTGCCATTGTGATCTCCGAATGGGCGACTACGCTGTCTTGATTCACTTAAAAAAAAGACAGTGCCGCTGTCTGTCTCCTTATTTCTCTTGTCCCTCGTTATTGGCGCTGTTTTTTTAAGTGAATCATGTCGTACCAACTCGCCCAAGCAACCACGTTAGCTACGCTGTCTTGGTAATGAAAAACAAAAGCTGCCGTTGCGATGTTGATCTCCACGATGTTAATCCCAAGGGGTAGATGTCCTTCAAAAACGCACAGCATTCCGCACGTGACGCAACATTTGGTGAGAAAGCTTCGGTGGTAGAGATCGGTACTAACTCTGAGCTGTGGTAAACTGTCGTGGCGATACAAATCTCTGGTGCACGCTAACAAGATTTCATGCCTCCTACGTTTTATAGCTTGATTATTTAAAACTAAAAGGTTCCTTTACGAAGCAACCGCGTCTATTTCGGGGCCATCAAGCTTTCAGCCGCTATCCTTGCTTTTTATCTCACTGCATTCGTCACATCGTAAAGATTTCGCAACGAGCCGGCGTCGTTATATGGTGCCGTCCCTCGAGGTGTCCTTTGTCGGGGAGGCAGACTCGGGCGCATCGGTTGGCGTTAGCAGGAACTGCTCCCTCGGGACAACATTGTGCCGGTATAGGGCACTATGGCGTTCACTAGTCTGTCGTCATAAAGCCGAGACGCCCAGTATTGTAAACACTGTGCCGTATAAGGAAAACAAATCACACTTCTTTCTAGAAATACTACGTCAACAAACATCTCGTTTTCAGAAAGCGTGCATGCTAGAGAGATGGAAGGTTAAAAAGGTCAAGAAAACGACAAATTATAGAAATGACACGCACAGCAGTTGTCCAAGTCTGCTTTGTCCGTCTTCCCCTTGACTGGTTTAATCTTTCTGCGTTATGTACTAACTGAACCAGACTTCAGCGTTACTGTGCTGGAGAGAGAGAATGGAACTCTCCGTGTTACCTGGTAGCTATGGAAATCCCAGAATGTCCCGACCTCAGGCATGTTCTGGGCCCTTGTGGCCAGCCTTAGCTGATCGTCTCCGGTAAAGCTGGTCAAGGCTCTGTCCCAAATATTGTGGTTGTGGCGAGGGCTTGAGCACTATATATTTAAGAGGTTCCAGAGACAATCTTCAGCAGCCACCTGCCATTTGTTGTGGGGAACTGAATTCTCCGCAGAAGCGGCATTGCCGTTCTACACCTGTAAAGTCCAGAGTAATCTCTCCTGTTCTATGGGAAGTGTCTGGGGTGTGGGAGTATATGTCTTCTGGACTATGTCATGTCGTCCTCCAGTCACGTGTTATCTAGCCAATCAAGTGCGATTCTGAAACTCGGGGCATATTCTCGCCTTTGCACACGCTTTTATGGTACATTTCGTGCATGGAAGAAGACGACGTTGTTTTTGTTGCTGCTGTTGTCGCTGTTGTTGTTTGTTGTTTGTTTGTTTTGTTGTTTACAAAAGACCCATACGGGAGATCGTGACTTGTCAATACTTCTTTTGAGGACAGACGCTGCTCGGAAGCTCCGCTTGCTCGTTCGCCCATTCCCCATATCAAATTGGAATGAGTCACAATTTATGCATGCAAGATTACAGTTCCTTAATCCCACGTTAAGCTTTGGAATTACATCAAGGCTTCGCCGAGGTGAAGCTAGCGTCTCGTGTAGATTATGACTGGCCGTTTACCCATGCGTATGCGTTCCGCATAGGGATGGTCGACACCACCGCCTGTGAACACTTCGATGACGAAGAAATGTTTTGTGTGACTGTCCAGAATACTCCCCACTGAGACAACGTCTTTGTCAAGCTTTCGACAAGTTAAGACAACGAGCCTCTATCAGAAGAAAGACTACTTCGCTATTGTCTGGACCTAAAGTCCCCGAAGAAGGCCTTACAAGCGCTGTTAGGCTTCCTGCGATCCGCTGGCGTATCAGAGGACGCTCAGTGGAACGCTCTCCTGTGTGTGTGTGTGTGTGTGTGTGTGTGTGTGTGTGTGTGTGTGTGTGTGTGTGTGTGTGTGTGTGTGTGTGTGTGTGTGTGTGTGTGTGTGTGTGTGTGTGTGTGTGTGTGTGTGTGTGTGTGTGTGTGTGTGTGTGTGCGCGCGCGCGCGCGCGTACGTGCGCGTGCGTGCGTGTGTGCTGTGTGTGTGTGTGCTTGCTCTGTTTTCGCATCTTATTTTCTTTCTCTCTTTCAACCCCCTATTCTCCAACCTCAGAGCAGGGCAACATACCAGACGTCACCTTCTAGTTAACCTCTCCCTACCTTGCTCTTTTCTTCATTCCTCTCTCTTTCTCATAAAACTTACGTGAAATTTCTTTTACTGTTTTGTGGTACGGGGTAAGGGGTTGGATGTTGATAGCATATTATTTGTTTTTTGTACCCAACTGATATTTGCTGGCTTTCCCAGAGCTGATTAGCCATACTCACTGTCACAGTGCTCCAAGTTGTCGAATGATTCGTATTCACGTTGCTGTCTTGCTGTCTTCTTGCCTCCTGATTGGCTCAGAGGACTGAGGAACACCTTAAAATGGCGCTGGTCTCGGGTTTCAATAGCGAATGAAGGTGATCATCTCTCCTACTAGAAAACGTTTTTCGTGGGTTTGCGCTCAAATAGTATTTCTGAAAAAGCGCCAATATTTTACAACGTAATTTCACGCTGGGAAACCGTTGGATGACTTTTTTTCGCTCCTCTCAAATGATGCCACAGATGTACCGAAAAACAGGTCCCTTTTGTTAAGTTGCGGGGTTTTGGTGGTGTTCCGAGTGAAGAATCACACTGCTCGGCTACTGGGTTATAAACTGCTTTATTTTTGAAAAACAGTGCCTGTTCGCGGAATTCGCGATCAGTGCGTTGCGTCCCTCTTGAAGGGAAACCATAATCCAATGTCCCTTTCGCTTCGGCCACCCGGCGGAGTAACCAGAAGCCGGTGATTGCTGCTCCAGGAGTGGCGGTACACCCATTTGCCGGGAAGGGCAGTGCGTCGCTTGTAGAACATCACATCCCTTCCCTCTTAGATGGAGTCACCATAACGATCTGGGGGTTGGTGATGTCGCTGCGGACGTGATGCCGTTGTCGTGTCCATCTGGGTCACTGGTTGTGGTGGCCCTGGGTCTTCTGTTAGGCTGAAGCTTGATGACACAGGGGAGTCTGCTGTTGGATCCACAGGAAAGCCTGCTGGTGGATCCACCATGTACGGAGCCGGAACAGTGGCTTGCCGAGTCATTTCGCCTTGCTCCCCATGCCCACTTGGCATGTAGTCCTCTGCCTGACTTTAGTCGACACCGGTTTTTATATGGTCTAGGTGCCTTCGAAACGTTCCCGTTCCACATTTAGCCATCCAAGACGTGGACCCGAGTCTCTCCATTATCTTTCCTTCCATCCCTGCAGGGCTGCCTCCAAAATTTCGGATGAATACGGGTTGCCCCACAGAAATTTCCCTCGGGGAGCTTATACCCCTGGTGTTCGAGGGTGCTTCCTCAGACGGCTGGGGCTGGAGTTGTGTGAGCGCAATGACTATGTCGCGCCCAAACGTTAGAGTGGCTGGTGTTTTTCGCGTCGCCATTGACACAGTGCTGTGTTTCTTAAGCAGGAACCGGGCCAGCCTACATGTAAATGCTCCTGTTTGGTTCTTGGCTAACGCCTGTTTTGTTTCGAACACCATCCTCTTTGCTTGGCCGTTAGTGAAGGGATGGTATGGGCTGCTTGTCACATCTGTTACCCCGTTTTTTTTTTCAAGAATTCCTCAAATTCTGAGGAAACAAAAGACGGGTCATTGTCCGTCACGAGCTTTTTGGGGAGCCCAAACGTTGCGAAAGGTATTCGCATTTTCTCGGTCAATGTGGCACTTTGAATGTTGTGCATGCAACGCGCTTTCATCCATCGACCACCACTAGCAACATCCTCCTTTCCCCAGGGCCAGCAAAGCCCGCATAAACGGTGTGCCAAGGTGACGTTGCACGCTCCCACTGAGGCGTGGATGCTTTGCCTGCAGCCTTTTGGTGCTGGCGACATGTTACAGTTTCTTGCCACTTCTTTATTGTCGCTGTAAGCACCTGGCAACTAGAAGTAACTTCTAGCGCAGGCCTTCATTGCAACAATTCTTGTGTGGTTCTCGTGGGCTTGGCCCAATACACTCTTTCTCGCTTTGAGAAGAATCATCACTCTGCAGCCCCTAATTATGCAGCCCTCCTGAATGGAGAGTTCGGCCTCGAGCTTCCTGTATGCTGCAAACTCCTCATTGGCTAACTTCCGCAGTTTAATACTTTTTACCACTTCTTTCACATGAGACAATACTGGGTCTTGTTGGGTCATTTTAACAAGATTTCTTGGCACTAGTTCAACGCTCGGCGTGGAAACCATCATGAGCACGTCTCCTGGCGGATAAGGCTCATCAACGTGCACTGGTAGCGGAAGTCTCCTGAGAGTGTCGGCATTTTTGTGCCTTTGGCCTGGTCCGTTCACCTATTTGTAATCATAGGGGGCTAACTTTAAACACCAGAGAGTCATTCCGGGCGATAGTACCGACGGCACTTGTTTCTTTTCGCTCATGATACCAATAAGTCGTTGATGGTCTGTTATCACAGTTACTTGCCGGCCAGCAATGCACTTGTGGAAATGGCTGGCATCGTAGACAATGGCCAACCCTTCTTTGTCAAGCTGGGAATAGTTCTTTTCCGCGCTTTCCAATGTACGCGGAGCGAATGCTATGGGTGCCTCTCGGCCAAGAACACCTTCCTGAGCCAGCACTGCCCCGATACCGTACGGTTATGCGTTTACAGACAAGAGAAGAGGTTTGGTATCATCGTAATGCGCAAGCACTTTGCAAGTGCGGACCACACGTTTTAGTTCCTCAAAGGCGGATTCGTGCTCCACCTCTCACTTCCAGTGCGCATTTTTCTCTAGCAGTTCGTACAGCTTCGCTGCAACATGTGCCCTGCTCTTTAGGAAGTGGTCCTAGAACGAGATTAGCCCAAGAAATGCTCGAAGAGATGTTTTGTCAGTTGTTTTGGGTGCCCGAAGTATGGTCTTCATTTTGCTTTCGGTGGCGTGCACCCCGTTGGCATCTATTCGGTATCCCAAGAGCTCAACTAACGTGATGCCAAAGTGGCACTTGTTCTTTCTTAGGCGTCGGTCTCTCTCACTTAGCCTCGCTAATACCTGCTCCAGCCAATATCCGTGATTACTAGCATCATCAAGGTAGACACTCACCCCCGGAATGCCGGCCAGTGTTACCTCCATCATACGTTGGAAGATGGCAGGTTCGGTGGATACTCTGATCGGAAGCCCATTCACTCTAAACAGTTCCTTGGTCGTGTTCACTGTGAGGAGCACTGCTGTTTCGTCGTCGACTATCAGCTGCTGGTAGGCTTGGTACAAATCCAACGTCGAGAAAAGTGTTCCGCCGCGCAAGTTCGCGAACACCTCTGCTGTAGTTGGAAGAGGGTATAAGGCCTTCTTCGCCACAGCGTTAACAGTACTCCTGTAGTCACTACACAAACACAACGTTCCGTCATTTTTCCGAACAGGCACCTGTGGTGTCACCCAGTCGGAGTGATGTATTGGTGAGAGGATGCCCTGATGTTGCAGACAGCCAAGTTCATCTTCTATAGGCCTCTGCATGGCAAGCGGCACAGGGTGAGCCTTGCAAAATATGTGGCTGGCGTCTTTTTCAAATTCCAGATGAATCAAGGGGCCTGTGTAGCCATCAATATCCTCTCTGAACACGCCGTGCGGCTGCGACATGACTTCCTTGATCTCATCAGTTGGATGTTCCACCTAGTTGATTCCATCGATATGAAGAGGAGCAAGTTAGTCTCGTCTGAAGAAGTTGCATCCATCTCCTTTCATTACCAGTAATTGTATCACGCAGTGTCTGCCTTGAACTTGACCCGAACGTGGGCTGTTCCCAGGACACGCAGTTCTTCTCCCGACCAAGTGCGCAAGTCGTGTGGCTCCCGTGAAAGTTGAGGGGCGTTTCATGGCCACGCTTTGTGGTATGTATCCTCGCTTATGAGGGAGCGAGCGGCAACCGTGTCCACTTCTAATTGCAGAGATTTCCGCTCCACTTCTACGTCTACGAGGAACTTGGGGCAGTGTGTGCCATTTTAGTACGTAGAGCTTGTAAAACTGATCGCTGCATCCAGTCTCATCATAAGCAGAAAGTGGGTTGACACTGTGCGTCTGTTCCGTGGTGTTGGCGCCTGTTTTTTTTTTTCCTTCTTCTTCCGTGCAGTGTAGGCATCTCCGATATGGCCCACTTTCGAGCAAAAACGGCACTCTGCAGTTTTCAACTTGCACGCTGAAAGGTCGTGCCTGCCGTCACGCCGGTAGCAACGGCGTTGGGAAGACGGTTTTTCATCTTATTTTTTGTTGGGAGTGGCTTTGTTGACCTCTCCTGAGTTCGTTGCAGCTCTGATTCCTCGCTGCTGCCTTGATGCGCTTTCCGCTGACAGGTCTATATCCAAAGCACGTTGGAAATTCAGCTCTTTTTCGGCAAACAGGCGTTGTTGGAGATGTTCGTCGTGAATGCAACAAACGAATCTGTCTCGCAGCACAATGTCTTATGGCAGCATTGTTGAGAACCGCTGTGAAACGGGCTCCTGACTTCTCCCTGATGTCGATGTTGCAGGCGTAACCGCTGGCGCACCAAAGTTGCAGTCCGCTGTCAAACTCTTGCGGGCTGCGACATAGCTTCAAATCGACTCACCGGGGATTCAGTCTCGTCGCTGGAAGACGTACCGGCCGTACAACTTTAATGGTCTTGAATCGAAATGCCATTGTAGAGGTGTCACCAATTCGTTGAAGCTAACCGCTCCAGGGGTTTTCGGCGCGACCAGCGCGCACGCAGTTTCGAATGTTTCCGTGCCGCACAGCGTAAAGAGGAGGGCGCCCGTTTCTTCTTTTTGTTGCTGAAATGGTTCGCCACAAAGTAGAAGTTGACGCGCTGGATCCATGACGCCCAGGATTTTCCCTAAAAGGGCTCGATAGCGCCGTACGTTCCTCCTATAGTCGTATTGCCCATAAACTTGAAGCTGCGCTCGCTTCACAATCCCTACCTCGTCGTCAGTGTTACGTTGCGGGGTTTGCCAAACCGCGCCTGTTCGCTGAATGCGTGATCCGTGCGCTGCGTCCCTTTTGAAGGTAACCCAATATTCCTTTCGCTCCGGCCGCCAGGCGGAGTGACCGGAAACCGGCGATTGCGACTCCAGGAGTGGTGGTACGTCCATTTGCCGGAAACGACAGTGCGTCGCTTGTAGAACATAACTCCTTTCACGCTTGCATTTTCATCATTTGGGTTTAGAAACTTATTTACGCTATGTACAGAAAACAAAGGTATCATAACATTCCAGTAATAGGGCACATACACTTCGGCACATCTATGTGGCACGACAAACATCACTACGTTTCAATGAAGACATCATAGTTCTAATATACATGACACTGTTGGCACACATGTACACATGAGCTCAATGCAACATCATGATACAAGGGTATAACGATGCAATAGATGCAATGAAACAATTAGTTGCAAACGAAATTATGAATAACTACTCAACGGACGCTGCTTAGCACTACGTTGGTTGAAATTTTTACCCTTTCGTGTTCAACATTGACGAAAGAGCACGACCAATGCCGCAGAAACTCGTGCTGCCCGAGAAACAAAAGTTCCTCAGAGAGCAACGCGAAGATCTCTCGTCACATGCAGCTAAGTATTGGCCACAAAGCACGCCGGCGGCGTGCTTTGTGGCCGCAGCTACGGCTTCGCATTGGTTTCGCCAAAGGCTGAACAGCCCCGCAACTAATAAAGGAGCGGAGAAGCGGTCGCGCGGAAATCGGCCTAGACACGAAAGTTCGCACACCCTGTCCCCGAAAACCAGCATTAACCGCACGCCAAAAAAGGCGGGAGACCACACATTCAATCGTCGCATGTCGATTGGTCCCTACCATGACGCAGTTGGGGCAAGTGGAAGTGCGAACCACCTGCCACCGCTGCAACCGATCTCCCGTGGGAAGCAAGCCCCAGCCCAACCGCCAGACAGTCTCCGAGATGCCCCGGCAACACTGTTGCAGTTATTCGTTTCCAAGCGCAGTTCAATATAAATTGACTATGCTGGGGAACCAAGGGCCGTAGAAGGGTGGCCATTGTGTCCACCACTTTAGAATCGGCCACCTCTATCTCTGGGCACATAGCTTCCAAACGTCGGTGAAATGCCAGAAGGGCTCGATACAAAGATGGTAATTCAGTTGATTGGGGACCTTGGTTAATTTGGCTAGCCGGCAAGAACACGCGTATTGATGGCCCCAGATGACAGCGAGCCAGTGTCTGAGCGGGCGTGCCATCATTGCTCAGTATTCGCAACAGAGTGCGGAGGCACAATGTAGAAGCCGTGACGGAAACATCGGGGAATGCAAAACTGCCAATATTTCACGGTTGAGCTAATGCCATACGAGATAACAATTCTGTGACACCAGACAAAAAAATGAACTGATGCAGATTTGCACTTGTTTGGAAAAACATTGTTTAAAGATTTCGAGTACTTCGTACTCAGCTATGGGAAAGCACTGAGATTTGTACTTGTGTGTTCAGAAGTAGGTAACGATTTAGAGTACTTGGTACTCTACTATGGGAGAGCTTAAAGCCGTCCCCAAGGCGCAAGTACGAGCTGCATCACTCTTTCCAGAACCATTAACGGTAGTTTAACCGAACAATCAACCATGCTGCTTAAGAGCATATAAGAAAATGCGGCCCCATAAGGTACACCAGTCATTTACGTATTTTCACGCGCTGTTTTTCCAAAGACTGTTGTCCTTCCAATTGGGAACTTGTCGGCGAACGGGAGTTCGCCATACGGGGACATCATCTTTTATTTAAGTAACTTGTCATTTTACGTTGTTAACTTGCCTGCATATGAATGCATAGTCGCCGTTGTCGCCTGTAGCACGGAAGTGTTGAGTTCACGTGCTTCAAGTTCCAACTGCCGGCGTGGAAAATAAAAAAATGGTAGCATATCCACGGAGTGAGTGATGGATAGTGGGGCGAAGCATCCCTCCGTCCATTCGTTCTTGCTTCCGTCCGTCCATGCGTGCGTCTGTGTGGCCGCCCGTGCGTCCATCCGCCCGTCCGTGAGTGCGTCTGTTCGTGCGTCGGCACGTTCATCTGCGCGTCCGTCCCTGCTTTCGTCCATGCATCCGCTCCTGCGTCCGTCCATGAGTCTATCCGTCCGTGCAGCCATCCGGGCGTCCGTCCATGCATCTGTCTGTGTGTCCGTTCGTCCACCTATTCAACACTCAAAGTACCACCATCTCGCATCTTTTCATCATATATTCCTCATATGGAAGCACCGCCATCCAGCGGACATTCCAAGGACTGAACCAGAGGAGGCACACGCACACTTTCTTACGGCTTGCGCTTCGTGTCTACTTCCCACCTTTAACCACCTCGAGTTAATGGTATATACTAGTTCACTGTATTCATGGCACTGCGGCGCAACGCTCGCTAAACCTTTCTAAAACCTAGGAGGTTACGCCCAGCGAGTATAACGTAGCAACCCTTTCTTGTCTTGTGTGCGTTGTTGAACAATAAAAAATTCGCAGCGTGCGTGTCAACTAAAAGCCGAATGCTCCTGTCCCTCATTCCCCATTAGCAGCCATTGGCATGTACATTGAGCGTTATCTTTTATTGTTGAACAACGCACAAAAGAAATGTCTCACCGGCAACACCTTGGATGTCAGAATGTTATACTTGTTACACTTTACTACAACGGCTATGAGGGACGAACGGGTGCCGCTATTAAGAGTTTCGCCCCTAAAAGTAAATGTTAGGAGGCAGCAAAGGCGTAGGCAGATTTTTTTTTTTTTGGGGGGGGGGGAGCATTGGCTCGGCGTGCCACCCCCTAGCTACGCCGATGAAAGGGAGCAATGCGCAACGCCACATACAGACACAAAAGCAGTTGGTCAGTGTCACACACGCCTCGCTTGCTCCCCTTATTTTCGATACAGAAAACGCTCTTTCTTTTTTCTTCAATAAGATACAAGTAAAAACTGGCCCGTCTTTTCGCAGCGCCCATTTTCAGTCAAATAAAAAAAAAAACTCAGGCGCGGCACTGACGGCTATGAAACGTCGCGGCTCCGGTGGGAAATCGCTCCTCCCGTGCCGTGAGCAGCTCCGTCTTCATTACATTTTCCGACACGAAGCCCAACACGCGATGTGCACCCACGCGGTTCTTATTTTTCGTCACGACTGCGCCGCGATTCGTTTTAATAAGATGTCGTGAGCTGGGGAAATATTGCAGCGAGTTACATCGTTCTTTGTTAGCACAACAGCGCGCTCGCTCGCGGTGCCTTTAATCTTTGTCGTCTGCAGCACCAAATTAAGGCGCTCACGAACGTCCGTACAAGGGCTTGTTTCTCAGCAGGGTCTTATTACCTGCGTGCTTTAATCTTCTAAGGATGAGCCTTTCCCCTCGCTGCCTTGCGTTGAAGCCTCGCTGAAAGTCGTTGGTTTTTCTCGTTCTTTTTTTTTCATTTTTAGCATTTCTAATTCCCAACAATGCCTTATATACTTTTCAACACTACCCGCTCCAAATGACATTTCACGTAGAATTTGTGATTGTTCACAGGGGCGCTACTGTTTGTTGTTATGATCACTATTTTCTAGTCGTCTTAGTGTGTGTTTTTTTCTATTCTATATTTGTGTGTAAATATATAGGAAGGTGGGCTATGTCAGATGCGACTGTACCAAA